TACGTTTTCCTCCATAACAAAACAGATTTGAGGTTAAATTCTTGGTCTTTTAGCCTTAATGAGTGTCAGAACTGCTCAGTCCTCCCACACATCTGAACCAGAACCACTCACCACTCCAAAACAAAAACCTGTCCAGACTTTAGAACAGAAAGAATCACTGAGGAATCACCGTGTGTAACAGGTTTGATTAGATTTGTCTTTAGGACATTCAGCTGAAGGACAAAAGTGTGTCCGGGCTGTTTTCTGGTTGAGAGCAGACAGAAGACGGAGATCTCCACCTCACAGCCGCTCGTTCTCCATCGATTTCATTTGCCAATTTCCAGATGGAGCCCTTTAATCATCGGCTTCAGCTTCCCCAAACTTCTCAGCACGGGGCAATAAGACGAGGGAGGGAAGTGTCCTCACCTCTCATTAGGACTCTAAAGAGATCCCCCCAAAGCTTAATTATTCATCTGCATTAATATCCCTTCAATTATTACTGATAAGGTGAGCGTGTGTGTGTGTGTGTGAGGGCCAAAGATCAGCCCGGCGATACCCCGGCCCCCCTGCTGATTAATGGATGAGGGAGAGGAGCGTTCATGTATTATTACTGCAGAGATCCTGGACCTCGGAGAGAGACACAGACCGAAGGAGACAAAGGAGGAGAAGGAGGAAAGCCGGAGAATATTAATCACCGTTTAGTATGCAAACACACCCTCTGTACATCGCTGGCATTTCAATATATGAAGTCATTAATTGGCCTTAAAACGTGGAAGTCCAGACTTTTTGGGTGAAATCTCTGAAATGTTTGTCTCCTCGTGGAGTTCTTCTACTTTAAATCTTCCCCCTGGTGTCGAGCAGAGAGAAATCCCTCAGATTTACTGAGCGCTTCCTGTTATTTCATTCCTCACTGCTCAGTTTTAGTCGTTTATTGTGGTCGTAGAGGCCCGGTTTTACAGCCTCGGACAGTTTGATGATGACTCTGACATTTCAAACCAACGGGGCTGACTCTTTTTGTGTTATTTAAAAAAAGAAAACTCTGTTTTTATTGGGTTCAGAATGTCTTTATGAAGCCAGAATATCAGAGAGTGATCTTAGCTGCTAGTTTGTTGGGTTTTCGTTTGCCAGAGCAGCTGCACACTGACATCTGGTGGACAATCAGAGTATTGCAAGTCATCTTAGGAAGCAAAACAAATGAAATAAATATCTCAAAATGTATGTTCAACTAAATATGAAGCACCAGGAGAAATGGGAGAGAATCCCACCTAAAAAAACCTAAAAAAATCAGGTCTTTAGTCAATAAGAGAGAGAGGTGTTAAAAGATGATGCAACATGGAGGTTAACATGTCCGGTTCCTACTTTATGAACCCTTTATTTCTGCTCTTCTCGTTTTAAATCAGAAAATATTAACTGTAAATGTCTCACTTCATGCAGCTAAGTTTAAATATACACTTTTCAGTGCCTTGTTGTTCATTCTGTCCGTTTATTCAATCCTGTATGAGATTCGAATCTGTTTTAAATACAAAAAAACTCAATTCAGGAGATTTAATGATAGCTGTTAAATAAATTCAAATTTCTGTATAATATGTGTCCCTGAGGTACAAATCAACACGTTTTAACGGAACTAAACCTGTTTTTATCACTGATAAATACCCAAACCAAACGAAACGGGAGTGCCAGAATAGTTAAATGGTTTCATCTTTATAAAGCAGAATATCTTTCCCCTTCAAAACATCATGTTTGCTGCTAACTCAGAGAGTTAAATGTGACCTTTCCTGAGGTAAAAAACGGAGAAAACAGAGCATGCTGTGTTACCTTTGGGAGCCCCTAGATGGCGCCAAAGTACTATATCTGATTTAAAACTACCCCTCAGATTTGGGCTGGAGGCCCCTCTCTGAACCTGATCTGACCCAGTTTGGAAAGACCTCCAAAAGGAGGCGAGTTAGAAATAAAAAAAACACAACTAAAACTATTTAATGATTTTTAGGGAACAAGCAAGTCTTCTTTGTAGGTTTAGGTATTTTAAACCTAACTCACATGTACACTGAACTACAAAGGTATGAAATCTGACCTGGTTATTATGTCTGTGTGTCATTTTGGATTTTAAAATACATTATTTGGTCATCATTAAATGTTGGGTGGCAACCAGGAGAAGAAACGTAAAGATTTATGGAATATTTGGGTGAAAAACAAAATCATAAAAACCTCAAAAGTCTACATAAAATTTGTCTTCGGTAAATTATTTAAGATTTTAGTCACTTTGATTATTAGCTTCCATCATATATTTTAATTTTACAGGTTTTATGTACCCTACAAGTTAAGGAAATGACAGTGGCTGCATAATCATCTATTTCCTCTAATATAAAAAAAACTGGGACAGATCCACACATTCTCAACACACAAAAAGTGTTCAATGAACATTTTGTCTATTAATCAGCGCATTTCTAAAAGGTTATTGAAATCAAACAAATCAAACTTACTTTTAAAGTTAAGCAATCAGGCTTGAGGTTCCCAACTTTTGATAGAAAAAACTGACCTTTTTCAGGAGGTAATTCACCCGTAACTGGGACTTCTTCTCTTTGTTGTGTTGACTCCTTTGCAGAAACCTTCCTGCAGTTCCCACTTTTCGCCAGCAGGTGGCAGCACAACAAAGTCCCTGTGAAACTGATGAGCTCAGTTCAAAACTTTCCAAACTTTCTGCACTTACATGTGATCTGGAAATGTTTGTTTTTTCACAGATTATTTAATGAGAGACCACAAACAGCTCACAGAATAAATAAGGTAAGAAAGTAAGAAAATGACTGAATATTTACCCTCACAATCCGTTTTAAAATAGTGAGACGTTCACATGGTGTGTAAATATACATCTACAGTCTCTTTTGTGATGTGGTGTGTGTGTGTGTGTGTCTGTGTGTGTGGGGTAATTGATCTCTTCACATTATTGTAGGGACTTTGTTTAATTAAAACATGTTAACATTAAATTTGGGGGATTTTCTAAACATGAACAGGCCTTATTTCCATTCTACATTGTTCTGATTTTAGGGGCATTTATAAGAAAAAAAAGGGAAACACCTGCTTTATTTAAATTGTAAAATTCGTATTTTTTTCTTGATAAATGTACTTTTACTGCCAATGGTTCTGCCTAAAAATAACAGGTGTATGCAGTTATTTTCCATTTAAAAAAAGAATGAATAAAAACTGGATGATTGAACTATTTGAGCCCATTTTTGAGGCGTTTCACATTTGTACATTTCTGGAGTGCAATGGATGGGCCAGAAGGTAAAAAGCAGTTTAAAAACTAAAAAAAAAGGAGGGAGCAAAAGAGAATAAAGGTGGGCCTGCTGGTGTGAGGCTGCAGAAAGGAGTGCTGCCCCCCCCCACACAAACCCCAGAAAGGCAGAAAGCTGCTTTTCTTGCCTGTGCACACACACCGTCATGCAGCCCAACAACAGGCTCCTCACGGCTGCGCGTGAGAGCGCGTGCGGGGGCTCGCGGCTGCGGGCTACTCAATAAAAGCCCGGCCAGTGCATTTATCATCCCATTACGGCGACAAATCCGGCTCCCAATGCATGAAAGGTAAAATGAATTACCGGCGTTAAGCCGTCAATAAAGTCATTTTTGTAAATGGTGTCTCTGAGGGCCTCCGCCATTATTCAACGAGCTTTATCAGCACGTTGGAGATGAGGCGCGCGGCGCGGCGCGGGCCCCGCTTCCCTTTGATGAAGGGCCCTGCCAGCGCGCGCTGACAGCGCTCTTCACTGGCTTTTATTCCGCGCGCTGCCCGTGATGAACGCCGGGCAGCTCGCGCGGAATGAGGACTAATTAAAAGCTATAAATTATCTCTCCGGGCCCTCTCCAGCAGCCTCAGATAAGAGCAGGCTGAGAGCTCATTTAGCCACAAAGGCGCTGCGCCTAAACAGCATATTGATACTGTCCTAATTGGAATTTAATTAAGCAGCCATGTCCTCGCGCTCCGGCCTGTGGGATAAAGATTTCACTGTTAACCATCAACACGTCCCCGCCATTATGATTACTAATAGTATTATTACTTTAAATGCCCACTTACAGCTTGATTTGATCCATATTAGGCAGATATGGTAGAAACGCGCCACAGTGTGAGGGCACGTGAGCACAAAGTGTTGTTTTGTTGGGCTGTCAATTAACCAAGGTGTCCAGTTTTTATGTTTAAATTAAAAGTTTAACTTGGATAATTCAGGGGCTGCAAAGTGCGTCTTAAAAATCTGATTTTTGAGAATAACTAGCAGGTTAAAAGGAGGCTGAACTCAGCCCGTTTTGTTTTCTCCTTTTTATTTAAAATGCAATCATACAATCACTTTTTATGTAGTTTTGTTTTTTAGTTTTTGGGCCACTGTGATAATAAATAGTGTAGATTTTTAAAAAAGTATAAATGTTATTTGGTTTAAATCAAAGCTAAAGATTAAATCTAATTGGTTTTCGAAACCACGTTGTGTTAAAACAAACGATAAAGTAATTTCTAAAAGAAATTGCTTGTTAAAATGGAAAAATAGAGCTACTCCAAACTCTTTTATGACAGTGTTTGCTACGCTCTTGTTTTTGTTTTGCTGCATGCGCACGCCCCCCGTGCGCGTGCGTGTGGCCCTCACCCGTCCAGCTGTGCGCCGCCTCGGCTCCCATTGGTCCGCGTCACGCGTGACAGGCCCGATCTCCCATCGCGATTGGGCGCTTGCACGTGTGTACGCGCACACGTGCTTCCGGCTGGGTGTGAGAGGGAGGAAAAAGCTCCCGGAGGAGGGGGGTAACGGTTTTAGGAGAGTTTGGTTCAGGCTGGACCCAGAAAGCGTACGCGGGGAGAGGCGGGCACCGGAGATCCATGCCTCACTGTCCGGGAGGCATGTCGCCTCTTTATCACCAATAAACTCAGGGCTTTATTCTAGCGCGAGAGGCTGGTTTCTTTGCATGCCGGGCGTCTAAATTGGATACGGAAGAGGGGAGAAGAGCAACAAGTGGGATTTGGCGAGCAGAGGCCGTGTCCAGCAGCCATGGAGGAGCGCAGGGACCCCGCCGACCGGGACCGGGACCGGGACCGGGACCGGGACCGGGACCGGACGGAGGACGACGGCGGCGTGTCACTGTCGCCCGGCCCGCTGCTGCCCGCGCGCCAGGCCGCGCAGCAGCACGCGCACGCGCACCGGACCACCAACTTCTTCATCGACAACATCCTGCGGCCGGACTTCGGCTGCCGGAAGGAGCCGGGCTGCCTCCGCGAGCCGAACCGGGAGCACGCGCGCGCGCCGCACGCGGGCAGCCTGTGTCTGGACTCGCCCTCCTCCTCGCCCTCCTCTTCCTCCTCTTCTTCCTCCTCTTCCTCGTCTTCGTCCACGTCCTCGTCGCCCTCCTCCCAGCAGAGCGCGGCCCGGCCCGGGGAGGCTTCGGCCCCCGTCCCGGTTCCGTCCCCGGCCAAAGAGAGCCAGCCGCTGCTGTGGCCCGCGTGGGTCTACTGCACGCGCTACTCGGACCGACCCTCATCTGGTAAGGCGCTAGTAGTCCCCGGACTCACGAGAGAGAGGGGAGCTTAGTTGGGAGATGTTTGCCTCGAAAAACTAAAAAAAATATAAGTCCACTTGGCTTTTACGCATCCGGAGATATTCTGTCGAAATTCAAGTTTTTCCACAAACGGCCTGAAATTATTAGATTTGAACCAAAAAATTGTAAAAAGCAGGGGGAGGGTTTTTTGGGGGGAGATGTTTGCCTCGAAAAACAAAAAATAACTATATATAAGTCCACTTGGCTTTTACGCATCTGGAGATATTCTGTCGAAATTCAGGTTTTTCACAAACGCCCTAAAATTATTAGATTTGAACCAAACAAATAGTAAAAAGCAGAGGAAGGGGAAGATAATAAAAAAACAAAACAGCAATTCGCCCATTTATCAAAATGTAATTGAAGTTCCGGAGATATTCTGTCAAAATTCAGCTTTTTCACGAACGCCCTGAAATTATGAGATTTTAACCAAACAAATAGTCAAAAGCAGAGGAAGGGGAAGATAATTAAAAAAAAACAGCAATTCGCCCATTTACAAAAATGTAATTGAAGTCTAGTTTGTTTTTAAGTCTTCACAGTGATTTAAAAATAGAAATAAGTTCAATTTAAGTATCCCAATTTCAAAAGCAGCTCAGCAGGTTACAACGTGTTATGCTTAAAATATAAACACAACAGTACGTTAGAAAGACCATCATAATTGTCAGGTATAATTATAATATCTGGAAAAAGGGTTTTAAATGGACAAACGACAGCTGCAGAAATAAATAAAAAAGAACAGCTGAATTATTTAGTTTCACAACTAACAACAATACAACTCATCCATTGATTATTATATTCTACCTAAGCATCATATGTAATATCTACATGGTTTAGTCTATATTATAGCAGGAAAGCATGGATGGAAAATAGAAGACTGTGCAAACCGAAAATTGTGCCATTTATTTAAAGACTAATGTTGATATTTTTTCATTTTAATTCTAAACTGAAGGTTTATGTGACTGTTTGCTGTTGAGACTCTTTCAGGACTTAAAGGTTTTAAAATGACACCGAAAGAAACTGAAAAAAAAAAAAAGAAACTTGTTTTTAAATGTATATTTGAGATAAATCCGGGTTCCTTTGTCACCTTCAGGTGTGTTGTGTTTGTCCACGTCTAACCAGATAAAAGCCGGTGGTGGAGTGGTTTATTTGTTATTGTGCATCGCAGTGTGATCAGACACTATTGTGCTGGCTTTTCTAACAGCATGTGGATATATTTTTTTATTTTTCTGGGCCTCATTGATGTCCCATGTCCTTGGTACATCTGCTCTACACTGTAAATTTAATTTAAATCACTGTTTTGGCTCTGAAACAAAAGCTGGACACACTTAGCCTTTATTTAAGGTGCACGTCTCCCTTTAGTGTGAGGAATTATACCTTTATATCTTGGATTATTGGTATTCATATTTGGATATTTATAGAGGGGGAACTGTGTGAAGTGGTATTAGAATTTCTACATCTATACAGTCAAAAGCCAGTAAGTCCATGTGGGCCGTGGAGGCTGTTTTGGAGTCCTGGTACTCAGCTTGTTATTTCCCAGCTCTGTACATTTTCTAAACACTTTTGGTTTGTGTTTATTGGGGTATTATTGAGATGCGTGCTCTGCTCTGATTGGCTGATTTCTCTCCCGCATTCAAGAAAGTCCTGCTTCTAATTAATAATCACGGTTCTGGTCTGATGACCGCAGGGAGACGCGAAACGCTGCCTTTGCGCAACGACCTTGTAAATGTATTAACCAGAAATATGTCCTATTTATCCATCGATTGATTTAAAAAAAAAATTAAAAAAAGCACATCAGGCGTGTTTGGTATTCTTTTGTCTAAACGCCAAAAGCTGCTAAGTTAACGTTTTGCGTAAAATGCGTACAAACGCATCAAATGGCGTCGTAGTTTGATTTTGAACAATGACTGGAGTGTTTTTGGGCTGAGTTGAGGCCTTTAGCAGGAGGGCTGTAGAGCGCGTAACATACAGCAGATATTCAGACCCAGTCGATCCCAGAGAGACGGTTTTCTGACCTACATTTGCGCACGCGAGCAGATAATGAACCGCCATCATCATCACCGTTCACCGGCGGGCCGTGCCGAGCCGTGCCGAGCCGAGCCGAGCCCGTCTGTCTGTCGAGCCTTAGAATAAATATTTTATTTCCATTGTTGTTTCCACGCCAGGCCCAAGGACACGGAAACTGAAAAAGAAGAAGAACAGCAAGGAGGACAAGCGGCCGCGGACAGCGTTCACGGCCGAGCAGCTGCAGAGACTCAAAACCGAGTTCCAGGCTAACCGGTACATAACGGAGCAGCGGAGGCAGGCCCTGGCGCAGGAACTCAGCCTCAACGAGTCCCAGATCAAGATCTGGTTCCAGAACAAGAGGGCCAAGATCAAAAAGGCCAGCGGCTACAAGAACGGCCTGGCGCTGCAGCTCATGGCGCAAGGACTCTACAACCACTCCACCACCACCGTGCAGGAGGACAAGGAGGAGAGCGAGTAGCCCAGGTACCGGAGCCCCGGGACCGGGACCGGAACCCCGGGCACGGACACCCGAGACCGGACTCCCCAGGACCGGACTCCCCGGTACCAGACCGGAGCCTCCGGGACCGGACTCCCCGGGCCCGGACACCCGAGACTGGACTCCCCGGTACCGGAACGGACTCCCCGGGACCGGGACCAGACTCCCCGGAACCGGACTACCCGGTACCGGACTACCCGGTACCCGACTAGACTCCCCGGGCCCGGACCCTGGAGCTAACGCGGCCTGGAGGAGGCGCGACGCTATTTAAAAAAAAACAACACACAGATTTCTGTTTATGGTGACAGTATATGGACATAATTATATAAATGAACGAGCGTTATTAAAGTTTATATAGCCACAGTTATCATGTCGTACATCTGATTTCGGGCTCGTCTCTCCGCTCGTTTGCTGTTTTTAGGGCGTTAGCGCCACGTTTCCCTTCAACAAAACGGTCCGCAGACTCAAACCAAAGATTTAACATGTTCACTGTAGTCTGGAATAATAAAAAACAACAACAGACTAAATTAATCTCCATTTCATCTGTTCAGGCAGACAAAGGCGGCCGTGAAACTATTAGAAAAAAATATATTTTGCGTTAAATTATTATCTAAACACCCCCTGGAAACAGTTTGATTTGATGAGGAAATTCGGAATAACTGGAGTGAGTCTGGATATTTAAATATTTGGATTTTACTGGGGCTGAGGGCTGTAAACAGTGGACAGGCCTCAGTGTTTGTTTGTCTTGTTGGGACAGGGTTCTGGTGGTTTTAAAGCTTTTGCATTCAGAGGGAATCAGTCTCTGTTTGGCCCAGAGAGCTCCATCTTTCAGGTTAGAAATGTATTCTTTATTTAATTTCGACTCCTGCAGAGTGAAACCAGGAGATGAAGCTGCCTGTTGAGGCTCTGACCATGTTAGTGAGACCAGGGCCGGGCCTTTGGAAACGAAAACAGGAGGTTTTTTTATTGGGACCAGAAAACGTGAAGCAACATCTTTATATTAGCAGCAGAAACCTAAACGTGTGAGCCACTCTGTCATTTTTCTGTCTGAGCATCTTGTTTTTATCAGCGCCGCGAGGCTTTTGGCTGCTCCTCACTTGCCCTGGCTCTCACCTCAGATCCAGTGGAGCTTCACATCCTCCGATTCCCAAAATATCCTCCCAACGACCCAAACCTGCTCCTAACGGTGAAATACAAACGTATAAAGCCGATAGAGAAGAAGAAGAGGTTTCATTTGAGTGTGTTTGTAAGACGAGTGGAACCTGATTCTTATCCTTGCTGTTTATATCTCAGATATGGTTATTTAATTAAGCGCTAAGGAGCCTGCAGAGGTCTGCAGCAGAGGAGTTCACGGCCTCCAAGTTTCAGGATTTTTGTTAATTATTTCAGGCTCTGGGTTTGTGTTCGTCCTCCTATAGAGCCCAGAGTTAATAAGCGCGCAGCATCGCGTGTTAATAATTGATTTGGGGCAGGCCGGGGACTGGCTGTCACTCCGTGGGCCGGTTATCCTGCAAGAGGCAAATTTTAATTAACAATTTGTCTCCAAACTTGATAGCATTTATTTATTTTTAACATGTTATTTTTGGTAGCCGTTTGGGAGCGTAAATTAAAAAGATTTGTCAAAGAAAAGGGAGAAAAAAGAGGAATCCGAGTTTTTCATTCTCATCCTGCATCCCTGATGATAATTAAAAGGTTGTAACCTTTGGCGTTGCATTTCAGAAAGCAGCAGGAGCAGGTTCAGTTTTCTTTGTGCAGAAACTGTCCCGTAATAACCGTCAGCTCCCCTGCAGCCAATCAAAACCTCCAGGGGTCCTTGAAGGGGTTTCCAGGGGACCCACAGAGATATTAGGTCTAATTTAATGTCACTATTCTCTTTAATTTCCAAATGAATATTCATAGGACTCGGTTTCACTGTGACGAAAGAATTAAAATTATGCTAAACATCTGAGATCTGCATCCGTTTGAGTCACAAAACAAAGGATCAGATGTAGCCAGTCTGCATTCGGGCTCCACTTTTAGGAGATTTGAGGCTAACTGAACGGATCCGATCTTCTTCGGGGGGAATCTAGTTGTGTTTAGAAAATATACAACTGCCTGTGTGACCAAACGTGGTCCCTTCGGCCATCTGGCCGGCGTGTGTGAGCAGAGGTGAGGCTCTTCACGGTCAGCCGACCCCCGATATTATCATCATAGTTTCCCTCCCTGCTGTGAATGCGGAAGAGGCTCTTATGACATTGTATTTAAAATTCATACAATTATGAAACGGCGAGAGAGTCCCCCCCCCCCTCCTGTCACCCAGGAAGCTGAGGGTTTATCTGTAAAACAAAGAAAAGCCAGGGATCGTTTGCATAGTTAGCATAGTCTGCCTCGCAGGCTCAATATGGATTTAATTTATATGCAAATGATAGCAATAAAAGGAGAATACACACTGGAAATCTGTGCTGTTTAAAAGGGGAAGACTTGGATTCAGAGCAGGTAGCGTTCATCCACAAAATCAGCCTCAACTGGGAACAACAGAGTTATATAACAGCAGCAGGCTGCAGCCTTTAGCCTCTAAAACACACCCAACCCCACAGTGGGACCTCCCAGAGCTTTTGTTTGAGTTCTAAAAATAATTCCCTTAATTTATCTGAAGCAACTTCACAACATCAGTCATCTCACGGTGCCTTTTGGAAAAGTGCAAATCATTAAATTACATTTAAATTGAATTAATTCAGATAAGAAAAATAATTAAATATAAGACTATTCAATCCACTGATAATTTACTTTAATTTACAGTTAACTTTTGTATTATAGTATTTAGAAAATTCCTAATTTGTGAAGGTTTGGGTCATGCGATGAGATTATATATATTTATTCTAAACTAGCATTCTGACTAAAGATTAACGGATCAAATATGAAACTCATCCACATTTTCTTTTTAAATGCTTAAACGTGAGGTGTTGACAGAAAATACTAACCTAAATATATCTATAATTTATGCCAACACCTTAAAAAACAAACCCAAAAATTCTTAGGAACACCAAAAAATTTTGTTTTTAGGATTTCCATCATGTAAAGTTTGGTTGTGATAACTAAATTATCTTATTTTTCATCTGGTTTGATTCAATAACTCCCAAATATACGAGGATAAATATACCAATAAATGGAGAAAACAATCTATTTGTGAAAAGATACAGTTCAAGCAGAGAAGTGTCTTTGATGCTATTTTTTTGGCTTTAGTGACACCTCAAACATCTTAAAACAGCCTCTGAGCCTCAGACGTCCACAAACAAGCTGAAAAACCACCTGTCACTCAGGCCAAAGAGGAGCGGGGGGGGGGGGGTCAAGTGTTCAGATAGTGGTTTAATCTGCCCCTACTTCCTGTAAACACTGGACCCAGAGAGGTAGCAGAAAGCCTTTAAAATCTCTGCTCAGCCAGAGTTTGGAGGCATTCGTACTGCCTCCAGGAGCAGAAAGAACAGAGGAGGGAGACAAAGGCAGGCCACTTCTCACATCACACGTTTACATCTCAGCTCTGCTTTCTGTTTCTCTATCTGTTCCATCCAACATCTGTTTGGAAGCCCGAGACGTGTTGGGAATCCGGCCGAAAGCGTCCAGCTTTTTAAATTAAAGGGAAAAAGGAGCCGTCCTCTGCCGGGTTTTTAAAGAAAAAAAACAAGAAGCCTTCTGTCTCTGAGCATTTCCACCAAATACAACACCACCACTGGTCCGTATCGTAGGCTCTGATTATTTCTCTCAAATAATTTAGGGCATTTAAACATAATGAACATAATAATAATGATACTAATGAACATAATAAACTAAATAAAATGAGGAAAAAACCCTAAAACCTGCTGTAATTCAACTGTGATGTTTTTCCCGCTAATGGAAGTTAGCCTCTTGCCTTTAGCTAGTTAGCATTCAATTAACAGGTTGATGTTTACATTTATTTTCCATGCTCAGCAGTTTTAGATAATTTCTTAATTCAATTACCTAAAAATGCTATTTTTCTTATTTTGATTGATCAAAATTAAAAATTAAAACAACATAAAACTATGTTCTGTTAAATTAAAATTAAATTAAAAGTAAATCAAGCTAGTACTACATTTTTTTCTCAAGCCATTTTGCTTTGATATTTCTTTAAATGTAAATGCTGTTTTCACAGGAAATTATAAGTGTTTTATCGGTCATTGTGGGGAAGAATAAAACAGGAAGTTAATTGGAAATTTATCATAAAGACAAAATAGAAAATGTAGAAATTACAGCAAAAAATGCTGGTATAAAACAACATTTTACAGAGAAATCTGTAAATTTTTCACCGTGAAAGAATAAATGGTTTGTCTTAAGTGTTGAGAGGTCAATAACATTGGTAGTGTGTGTGTGTGTGTGTGTGTGTGTGTGTGTGTGTGTGTGTGTGTTAGGACAGCCTTCACACGAGGGCAGCAGCTGTCTTTTAAAGAAAGTGTAAAAATGAATTTCAAACCAGTCTGACCCTGATTTTATGTGTTTTTTTTTAGCCTCATGAGTACAAAGATGGGTTCTCTGCTGGCTTATTCTGGCCTGTCAACAGCAGCGCGCTATCTCAGACCCACACACACACAAACGCACAAAGGTGGCATTGAGAGGGAACCTCCCACAATGCAGCTGGGCGTCCGGGGCCCTGATCTCAGCGCGCTAAATCCAGATTACATGGGGGATAGAGGCAGCGCCACTTGTTTACCCTGCGCCCGTCAGGGGGTGATGGGGGGGGGGGCATCAATAACACACCGTCCATGCCAGAAGTGGTGGCAAACTTTCTAAAGTTCTCATTTATCTTCCTTATTCGTGGACTGCTTGAACTATTCTGGAGTTTATGGATATTAAGACGTATGTTTGTGTCATGAAATCAAGCAAAAATCTGCAGGATGACGGCTGGATCTCCTCTGCAAAGATAATAAATCAAAGTATTTGTTTTACAAAGACTAAATAAAAATATCTTGGAGTCCCTTAAAATATCTGGGAAGAAGCTAAATTACCCAGATTTACTTTAGAAAAATAATAATTCAGAAGCAGCTCAGGTGGCTGGAGGATGACGGCTGGCTCTCCTCTGCAAAGATAATAAATGAAAATAAAAATAAAAATATCTTGGAGTCCCTTAAAATATCTGGGAAGAAGCTAAATTATCCAGCTTTAGTTTATAAAAAGTGAATTCAGAAACAGCATCAGCAAAGGCTGTTGGGATGTGTTCAAT